TGTGTGTGTGTGTGTGTATTGTGTATGTGTTTGTGTGTCTTGTTGAGTGCTTTCCGGATTACGAAGGATATCTGATTGTGAAACAATTTGTAACATCATCATATCATCAAGTGCCTTGTTTGGAGCAGGAATTGGCTGTTATGGTTTTGCATCCTTCTCTTTCATTCGCCACCCACAGATAAGTGTCTCTAATAATCCTCATACAAATCTCTATGTAAGATATCACAAATTAAATAATTCCCACCGATGATCCTTAGCTGCATCTAAATTTCCCACGACTCTTCCTCGCTTGGTCTAACATTTTCAAGACCTGCTTGATTTCTGAGTGAAGTGAAATTTTAACAAGTATACCCGTCCTTTTGCAATGATACTACATCCCTCTCAGCTCGATTGGTTCTAACAGAGAGGATTGAAGCGAACCTCCTGATTGATTGGTGATCTAACTTGTGTCGATGTGACATAACACACCTATGTTTTTATAGAGTCCCCTCCCCCCCCCCTCTCAAAATGAATACTATATATTAAAATCTTTATCAGTCTCAAAGAAATTGGCGCTCATATGACCTTATTATGCAGTTGCGAGCGCCGTAAAACCCTCAACAACAACAAAAGTCTCAAAATACAAAATTAAGCTGTTCTGTGTTGTTCTGTTGGCGAGCTTCTTGACGGATACCATCGGGGCAGAAATTCAAGATTGAGGACGAATAAATAAACCCACTGCTCCGCCAGCTGGAGGTGCGACCCCTCAAATGGCGAAATATCACTCATGAACATCTACGCTCAGGTGCGCGCATGGGCGACATTTGCTTTGGAGTATCGTCTGTCTTCTGTCGTCTTTCTTCCTTCTTCGGGCGACGATGCTGACCCTGTCAGCATTTGGGACATGCCGAAGCAAACGTCCTTGGGGGTGGTCACCATTTCTGGTGATCTTCCCGAAAGATGAGATACAGGACCTGACATCACTAAATGTTTTAGAAATTCACAAAACACTAAAACATTCTCAATCATGAAACTCAAGTACATGAAAAACTAGGATCCACGGACCTCCTGGTACAAGTTAGCTCTTGCACTGTTGGCCTGCACCTCGTTTGGTGCCATCCCCATATGTGTTCAACCGCACAGAGAAGTCTGAACACATCCAAGGGTGTCATCAAAAGCCGAGAACTCAGTGGCTGTACAGAAGAAGAGATAGTCCAGAGGGTCGATGAAACTGTCCATGCTCGTCGCATCAGAGTGCGGCGAGATGGCAAAGAAATCTATACCAACACGTGGATCCTTCCTTTTAACACACCCACACCACCTACAAAAATAGACATTGCCTACTTAAAGCTAGATCTAGAGGTAAAACTGTACAATCCGAAACCGATGCGCTGTTTCAACTGTCAGCGCTTCGGATGGACACAAACAGCCGCGCTGTCGTAGTGGTGCAGCGTGTCCTCGCTGCAGAAATGTAGGACACTGTGGGGAGACCTGCTCCGCAGATCCCTGGTCTCTAAATAATATTGTCGTCAGGGTGTCACTCTTCTTCTTCGATTGAGTGTCCGAAGTGGTGTGAGGAGAAGGCCATCCTGACACATAAGGCTCAGTATGGCGGAACGTTCGCTCGACAAGAGCAACGTTGTATCAAATAGAATCCACCCCGAGGAATACAAAAACTTATTCCGAGTCCTGAAGACGGTCCCAGGGTCAGTGAACACAACCCGAAAGGTCCTTTCAAACCAATAGACAGAAGTAGAATACCTGCGACAAGGAACGATACCCAGTCTGGAGACGGAGGAGGACATGGAGTCCTCTTCCTCCCCTCTTACCTCTCCCACTTCCCATCTACCATCCCCCCCCCCACCCCTTCTTCGTCTCCACCATCTCAGCCATCCTCTAAATCCTCACACCCATCATCATCATCACCCCCATCATCTTCACCCCCAACATTCTCACCATCATGATCTTCACACCCATCATCACTTCCTACACCCTCATCGCTTCCACCTCCTTATTCCTCATCTCGCCCACATCAACCGCCATCCCATCGCCCTTCATCCGACAGAGTCCCTCCACCCGCTCCCCGCACCCACTCCCCCTTCTCTACCCGCGTCCGGGACTCCGGTCCTCCTCCCCCTTCACACTCCCCTTCAAAACAAGCTGCGGTCCACCGTGACTGCAGCATAACAAAACTGAGACAACGGTCACCTACGACCGAAAAGAAATGTTTTGAACCAGTACCCTCAAAATAAACAAAAATGACAGTTCTTCAGTGGAACATTCGCGGTTTGCGTGCAAACCAGGCAGAACTCACTCATCTTTTGGCTTCACAGACCCCAAATGTTATCTGTCTACAAGAAACTAAATTGCCAACACCCACATTCACATTAAAAAACTATCAAACTTACAACCAAGTATACACCGACAACCAAATCGCCTCTGGGGGGCAACTCCATTTTAATAAATAACCAAACACTTCTCAGACAAATACTCATAAACACAACATTTCAGGCAGTCGCAGTCAGAGTCACCCTACACCGGCATATAACTATCTGTTCAATATACGTCCCTCCAAATTATCATCTATCTTTAAGAGAACTAATAAACCTCAGAGAACAGCTCCCACAACCTTTCATCGTGTCAGCCGACTTTAATGACCATAGCTCTCTTTGGGGAAATGATCCAACTGATACTAAAGGTTGAATCATAGAAAGTTTCTTAACAAAAACCAATATTAGTATTTTTAACAACAATACTCCAACATTTCAAAATTAAAATAACTTAAACTTTTCATCCATAGATTTAACCCTATGCGATCCAGATCTACTTCCAGACTTTCAGCGATCGGTCTTGGACTACCCACATGGATCGGACCACCTCCCCATCAACCTAAATCCAGACATTCCACACCGAGCTCCTGTCTTAGACCGTTTTAATCTTTAAAAATAGGACTGGAATCAGTTTTACATGGAACGCCCCCAGAGATTCAATCCATCTCAAAAACAAACGTTTGATCAATTTCATAAAATCTTTCTAGAAATTTTACAAAGACTCGTACCAATATTATCTACCAAACCCCGAAAATAAATGTTGGTTCACTGAAGACTGCCAAAAAGCTGTTGCGGCCAAAATATCAGCTCTCAGGAAGTTTGTAAACTCTAAAGCAAACGAAGACCTCATAAATTTCAAAATTGCACGAGCCCAAACACGCGGAATAATCAGAACGGCCAAAAAAACCAACGTCTTTTCGCAATTATGTCTCTAAGACAAACAACTCACCAATGCACAAAGTCTGGAAGATGATAAAATAAATTAAAAGGTATCAAAAGAGACACACTCAAACACATCTTAAAGCCAAATAACTCCTTCGCAGAGACAGAGAAAACAGTAGCTGATTGTATAGCCTCAACCCTTTGCGGAAATTCTGTACGAATCCTTCCCTGGACGGCCTTGAACTCCAGACTGTTTTCCGAAATTGTGGAGGCCTTGTCCTATCGGAGATGGACGTTAATTTAGGTTGCAGGAGATCCGAGTTCGATTCTCTAGTGGGGATAAGTTTTATCGAGTATCTCGGTCTTTCTGTAAGATATTGTAAATATCACTGCCGGGTTAGCCCTGACAGACAGGGTTAGGGCGGCCTCTAGAGTGTATCTACGGGGGAGTAAAAACATCTCACTTTAGATGACGCATTTTTACTTAACTTGATTCTTGACATGATTTTGACTCTTGATTCCTCAGGTGAGTCTGGTCTTGGAAAGTCTACACTTATCAACAGTCTCTTTCTCTCGGAGCTGTATAAGGACAGGGAACTGCCCAGTGTCAATGGTTAGTTTATTTACTATTAAACATTATACCATGTATATTGTATCACAAATCGGCTAAAGCAACGCGAAAAATTTACAGTATTAAAATCATAAACAAATGTTTTAATTATATCACTGTTGAGTAGTGTAAATTTATGCTTGTTAATAAGTCTGAGGCTGCTTGATTGGCCCGTTATAAAGAATGCATTGTGTTTATTGGTCGCCAGAGCAGCAGACAGTATCAAAATTTATTTTAAGAGTACTGTCTTGCACTAACATGCCGCATATTGTGAACGATGAATGGTGTTTACTCAGTCATGCAGGCTAAAGATATAAATTCTGCGCCTCAGAATGTTAAAATTTGATACATTTGACACTTCAAGACGCCAAGAACTTCGACAAAAATATTAAAAATGCTATTGGACGAGTGCAAGCCGGTGAATCTGCAAACATGAAGTGTCAGAGGCCTGGGTGTTCACGTTAGCCACCACACATCCTCTGTAGAATCGTGTCCTCGCCACGATCACCACCGATTGTTTCCAAACAAAATGTTTTCGGAAAAAATACATAATGAAGTGTTGGGAAGCTCGAATTGAAGCTCAACGCAACCTAAAAGGAGAAGATTGAGATATCTGGGATATATTTTGAGAATGCTGAAGACACGATTGTGCTGGAGACCAACTGGAAAAAGAAAAAGAGTCACACCAACGTTGGAAGTTACAGAGGCACAATAAGGGATGAGGCAAAATCCCAAGGCCTGGATATGCCGGGTTTGGAAAAAGTTTTCAGGGACAGGCAAATGTGGCGTCAACTGCTCTCTGCCTTGTGTACCTGAAGGTAGCCTATAGATTAAGTAAGTAATACTTTTGCATATCAAACCAGACTCAGCACACCAGAGGCGACAACTGCGGTCCAGTACCTGTTCACAGTGCGTCGACACCACCGGGAACTTCCAGAAGTACAGCATGAGCAACTGAGCGACTGCTGAATGACAGAATAGTGAGACGGAGATTTGTAGCTATCGGTCATTGTTAACGTCCAAGTTGGAGAGTTGTTTCAACTACACGTCACCACAGTCACCGCCAGCATCGACTGCAGTTGTCGCAAGCTGACCGAAGAAACCAACAACGAGATAGCAGTATCGTTTTGGATCCTGCAGGTGGTCGTGTTCGTATTGATCTGATCGGAAAACAGAACTGCCATAAACACCGCAAAACGTGGGCTTAACATTAAATGTGCTCATTGTTATTTTGTTTAGGAACCATTGGTTTTGTGTAAAGCACAAACATGTTTTAACTCTTGGACATAATTATCTGTCATCTTACACCAATATCACACAGAGTTGCAAATGGAGCGTCTGAATCAGAGGCAAAGTAGCCTTTCTTCAGCTGCTTTTTCATGGGGCTTTAATAACAGTAGAATTCATATCGGGGCTATTTACTGGTGACAACTCTATCGTTGCTATGACTTTGTTTTTCAAGAAAATGCCTAGTGGTGTTTGCCCTATGAGAAGATGTTTTGTCATGTATGAAGAGGTCTACCTCAATGACGCCATTACGAAAAGAAGGGAAGCATTTCTGCGATGTAGTCCTCTAAAATGAATCCATCAATTGACTCTCACGAATGTGGTGTTGTTCATTCCAGCCGGGCCGCCCAAACCATATCAGTTTCTTCGCCTCTATTCCTCACTGAGAGATGAATTATGTCTAAAATCTAACAAATATAGTCCATGCGCAAAACGAGTTCTTACTTTCCTCGAAACAAATGGTTTCTAAACAACATACATGTAGTGCGGTCAAAAATTCGCGGCGCAACTTATCCTCAAATATCTCTTTATACTTTGTACAGCAGTTTGTATCAATCTATCTTAACGTAATCCGTAATTGTTACAATTAAGGCTAGATTAAGGGGGGGGGGGGGTACACCCCTAAAGTCCCAATTAACTCAAAATTATGGATTTTGAGTTGTAGGCATTTTAACTTCCTCAGCCTCCCCTACAACTATTTTATTGCATAAGAACCCCCGAAAGCATTTTTCTTCCCATACTGGGTATGTCTGTCGTCACCATTCCCTCATAAAGTCAATATTTTACTTTTCTGTATCGCCCGCTTTCTCAAAACGCGATTTTTCTATATATACTTTTAAAAAAATATCTCCGCCATTTTTTATGCAATCTTCATGAAATTTTCAAGTAATGAAGAAAAAATGTAATACTAAAAGTTTGTATGTTGAATTTTATATATATAGAATACATTTTTGTTGGTGGTGTTTAAAGTGTGGATTTTCACGGTCTTTTTTTCAAACTTAAATACTTTCTCAGGGAAAAATTCATCATTTTTTTTTCTTCGTTTAGGAAAAATTTAATAGACAAATATTTAGATCTATTGTTTGCTCACACGCATGCAAAAAAGCAACCAGTTTCCATAAAAACAATAAGTGCGGTATTCATCACGTAAGACATGTCAACAAATTCAATATGGCCGCCCTATCTATGGAAAAGAAACTTTTTTCCTCAAATTTGATTGCGGATATTAAGACTCCTTACTATGCTTGTTATATGTGTGAAATGTTGTAAAATTTGGTCAACTAATAAGCGAGATAGCCTTCTGATGTAGCCCCCCCC